TATTAAGCTCTTATAATGAATATGAGTGTGTTTATTCATTATAAAAGTTTAATAAAAGTATAATATACAGTAAATGCTATTTTCCAAAAAGACTGATTTGGTTATATGTCTATCCATATGTTTATTTAAAACCTTAATGTCGTTGAAATGTTTCAAAGCTATTAAATGAATATTGGTTTCAACGGAAATTCCCATTTTATACTACAATTCATTACAAAAAATTATTTTTAATACAGTTTTATTTCTAAATAATAATTTATTATTTTTAACAAAATTTAATATGGGTAATTAGTAATATTCAATTACTGTATACACATTCTTGAACAATAATAATAATAATATTTAATGCTATCCCAAATAATTTTTATAAAAAATATTCTAATTATTATTAATATTTTTTAATAACAATATTTAAAAATTCTATAAAAACAATATTATTAATTTTTAAATAGTAATATTACTTTTTAAATTAGATAATATCTATTTCATATTGTAGTTGATTATCATAAGAATATTAGTATTTTGTTATTTCTAAATGTGATCATCAAAATTGCATTTACTATTTAAAAATCAATTTGCATTAGACAATATATTGCATATATAATCAAAGTTAATAACTATACAGCACTTTAGAAAATAAGCATCTATATATTCATAAATATTAATTGAAATAAATATCTCAGTAATTTTTAAAAATAACATGATTGTAAGCAAAATGATCTGTAAAATAAATTATGAGATCAATACGCGTATGAGTCGATAGTACACTGAAATCCATAAAATTATAATCCAAGTTAATAACTATACAGCACTTTAGAAAATAAACATGTACATATTCATAAATATTAATTGAAATAAATATTTCAGTGATCTTTAAAAATAACATGATTGTAAGCAAAATGATCTGTAAAATAAATTATGAGATAAATACTTGTATGAACTTTATCAAAACATATTCTTATGAGTGTAGGTTAGGTTTATATACGCAAATTAATGAATACGACAATAATTATTGGTTTAAAATTTAAATATTTACTAATTATTTGGGTGACCTTTGGCACTATTATTAGTTTTTTCGGTTAGTTCTATCATTCAAAAACCATAACTTTATCGTATAAACCACTACTATTTGATACTATGAATACACTTATCATCTCAAATGCATTCAAATCCGTATGCTGTACACCATTCATATAGTTAATACTGTACTGTACCATTTATTAAAATTATATTTAAACCACAAATTCTCGATTATATATCCTATTAAACATAACAAACCGCTTTTTAAAATATTGAACCTTTCCCGAGGCATTTCAGAAATAGTCCGGGACATGAGAAATGTAGGTTATATCCAAATATATATGTATACAGTATCTATTTATTGATAGAAAGTTTATGTAGCTTTAGTGACTACAATAAAACTCATGATCTCTTAAATCAAAAATACTTCGCTTATTATTATCATTACATTTGACACCAAATATGGCACCGCTTTGCGGTCTCTCTCGCATCCATATGTCATCGCATCGACAGTCAAATAGGGTTTCCGTGAAAATCATTTTATGACCGCTTTGTGAGAGGAATGGCATCAAAATAGTCTCCAAATTAGTACTATTGATAACATTGCTCTCGAAATGTATAGCCATTGGTTGGCCCACATGTTTGGGCAAACAATTATCGCTGAGATGTATGTCGCTATTGGGACAGTAGGGGTGACACCATGATTTAGCGTTGTATATAGGTGATATGAATTGGTTAGGAGTTTTCAATCGGTTAAGCCTGATCACTTTGCTCGCATTGGTGGCCACAAAGTTTAAGCTATTATCAGCGAAGTATCGTATGTTATTTTGTGACACATCCAGTTCCCGTATGTTTGGTAAACCCATGAATGTGTTGCTATCGATACGCTCGATATGATTGTGATGTAAATCCAATACACGAATCTCATTGACAAGTGGCGGTAAAACCTATGATCAAATATTTTATAATTAACTTCATACATTAATTAAGTTTTAACCAAATACAGATAAACTTAATATAAGTTATATTAAAATGGTACTAGTATTACCGTATTACTATAGTATGACAATTATTAATAATAATTTTCATACTATCATATAAATATTAAAATATTGGTAATTATTGTTAATTTTAAACAAATTGGGTTTTATTAAAATGAATTCAAAACAATACATACTCTAACAGATGTGCCAACGATTGCGAGCGTATCGGTTATTATCAAGTTATTAATCAAATCAAATACAGTCTCATTGATAGTCGTGTA